TATTGTTATACCCACTGCATAAATGTAGATACTGTAGTAGAATACAGAGAAGGTATAACTTGTAAGTCACAAGGTACGTGGTAGAACAGGGATTCAAATCTGTGCCTTTATCTCCAAATTCATATATTTGTATATTGCCTTGATAAAGAGAAGTGGGAGAAGAGCAAAAATATTAAAAGGAAAATATATTTTTTTAAAAATTACTTTTCCTCTTATGCCCATACTAAAATTTCCCTCTTGGTTTAGGTTTATAATTCTTGAAATGTCTCATGTGATATATGTCAGTTGCCATGCATTTTGTTTCTGGTGTAACAGCCTTTAGATTTGTAAAGATACCTCAACAATTTCACATCTTTAAAGTTTTCTTGAAACTTACTTAAAATAAATTCTCATTCCCACACCTTGAGAACCTTCCATTTCAAATCTATGTTAGAGGCAGTAGTGGTTTTGTTTCTGGTCATACCTAGAAGAATCTGTGCTAATAACCAGCACCACTAGATTTTCCCCATGACACTGTCATTTTTATCTTTTGTCCCATTGGTGCCTACTTACTAAACTACTGAAGCTGGCATTTTTAGGATGGCGTTTAATACACATTAGTCTCTGCTTATCTGTGTTTGCAGTTACAGTCAACCATAGCCTAGAAATTCTAGAAATACACAGCTCATTAATTTTTAAATTGTCTGCTTTTTCAAGTAACATAATGAAATATTGCCGTGTCTCAATCCATCCTCCCCATAATGTGAATTACTCATATGTCCATTGTTTCTACATTGTATATGCTACCCACCCATCAGTCATTTAGCAGCCATTTTGGTTGTCACATTGACTGTTGAGGTATTTCATGGATGAATTTTACTTAATAACAGCCCCATGGTGGTGCCACCCAGCAATTGTGATGTGCTAATGAGAAGCTTTGTTTTCTTTAAGCATCTCCTCACTATGTCACAAAAAGGGCAAGCTCATTATAATAAAGATACATATTTTGAGAGAAGGTGGCCATATTCAATATAGTTTAAATTGAACATTTTATTAGTTATTACTGTTAATGTCTCAACTGTGTCTAACTTATAAATTAAACTTTATCATGCGTATATATAGATACATTGAGTATCCTTGATCCACAATGCTTAGGACCAAAAGATTTTTGGATTTTGGGTAATTTTTTATTTTTTTGATATCTGCACCATAGAGGTTTCTTTGGGATAGGATTTTAACTTCATTAGGAGGTCAGGTGTGGAATTTCCCATTTGTAACAGCATACTAGTGCTTGAAAAGTTAAGGATTTTGGAGCATTTTGACTCTCTGGAACATTCAGCATATATAGGAAAAACAATATATAGTGTTTAGTACTATCTGTGGTTGTAAAATCTGCAAGGGATCTTCCTGTAGGTCTGTTAGCAGGCTTTGGGATGCCGGAATCTCCTAGTGGTGATTTCTAGTTCTTTCTGTCACAAATAAAGAATGAAATAAGCATGAATTGTGACGGTTTCACATTTTTTTAAAGGTAGAGGAAAAAATGGAAAGGTAGGGGAAAATGAGCACTGCAGAGTGAATGTGGAAAAAAGGAGAAAAATAAACATGCACTCTCCAGTGTAGGGTGGGCTACCTCGAGAGGGCTGGACAGTGAATGTTTGATGGCAACAGTTCCTTTGTTACATCCCACGCCCTTTCCAAAACCTCTGGAGAAAAGTCCACGTGCAGGGCTCAGGATTGTTCTGTGCCTGTGTCCCAGGATCTTGTCATGCCTCCTGTCCCAGCTAACTTTAGCCACACCCTACCCTTTTGCTTCAGATCCCCCTATGCATACGGAAGAACTGTATTCTTACTTCAACTTCCAGAGTAATCTGTTTTCCATAACAACTTCCCCTTTCTGTGTCCCTGAAGAGCCAGAAGTTGAGTCGGTAAAGTGGCATTAGTGGAACCATGGATACTAGAGCAGATTTTAGCAGCAGTCTCGTAAAGGAGGAGTCCGGGCTTGTTAACAGGGATGATGTTTCCATGCTTGAATTCTGGGAACGGAAGTATCTAGCAACCAAGATGTATGTAACTCTTTCTTATGAGAAGAATAGGGGTAGAGTGGGTGCATGTGGACAGAATTTTTTAAAACATGGAGCCAAGCAGGACAGTTTTTTTTAAAGCTACAGGGTACAAAAAATACCGAAGTCTTCTCAGCAGTATTAATGTACAGGCGCTCTGCTTTGGATAGACAAAAAGGAATTATTTTTTGAATTGTAGAAGTTGATTTTTTAAACTTCCTTAAAATATAAGTAGTGGAACAAAATGAACTGTCTTTTTACAAGACTTCTCCATTGTTCATAAGAAAATACTGAGCACAGCCTGTCATAATCAACCTGAAGCCTGACTGTAAACTCAGTCCATCTGTGAACCTTTTAATGTTGGAGCTCTTACTTTTATCTCTATTAAAGTAACTAAAGGAAGAGAAAAAAAGCTCAGCTGATTTTAAGTGACTGTTAAGAGAGGTTAAAAGATGCTTCTTTATGACATTAAAGATTTCTACAGTACAAGGGGCCTTAACCGTGTATAGCAGCCAACCCATTTTATAGGTCAGAAAGTTGAGGCACCAAGAGATTAATTTGTCTGAGATCATATAGGTAGGTAAAGCCATGGTTGAAGTCTTTTCTGCCTGCCCACTTGTCCAATTCTGTCTACTGTTCTTTTTCATAATTTGATCCATTAGAATTGAGGCATTAAAATTTTTTACTGTTTTTAATCATGGTAAAATATACATAGCATAAAGTCATACAATGTTTAAAAAGTGTCTTTGTGTAGGTAATACACAAACAAGGAACAAAATCAGGAGGTGCATGTCCAGAGAAGTCAGCTCCCACTCCTAACTCCTGTTCCTCTGGGCTCCCTGCTCTGAGACAGCACTGTGAAGGAGGTGGCTAAAGTTTTAAGAGGACATGTATGAACTGACATTGTGTTACATGATTCTTCAAGAGTTGCAGCCCAGCCTGTCAAGCTTAGGGAATGCCCAACAGAGGAAAATCATAAGCCATGGGATTGAAATAAGGAGAGCTTTATGAATCAGATTTGAAAATTACCCAAAGCCTGAGTTCTTTCCAGCAACAGAGGGGAGGAGGAATGTATTACAACAGTAATCATGGGATCCTGCCTTTCATACAGACAGCCTGAAGTGTAAGAGGGCCCATGTATCCTTGTGACAAGTAAAATCCCCAAGTCTTCTGTAACTGTGTTACAATGTTGGCGAAGGAAAGGGTTGCCTTGGTGTTTGAGTAAACAGATCCTCTGCTCTGAATCAGTGTCGGAAGCAGGGAGCCTTGGAACGCTAAGTGCCTTCCTTGATTTGGTCATATGAGGTGAGGGGAGCCTGGAGTCCCTGTGAGAGAGGGGAGAGACCAGGTGGTGCTCAGAAGGAGCGAGAGAGACAGGAGTGGGCTCCAGGAGGACTTGGGGAGGAAGGTCAAGGTGGGAGGAGTTATATTTTCAAGAGAGAAGCCCTTTGGCATCTCTGCTGTTAAGACTCCCAGATAGGATTTCATGTTCTACTCCAAGGCAGGGTTTTTCTGATCCTGAGCTGTGTCTGGAATATTTGCTAAATCTAGAGATTGCTTAGCCTGTGTCCTAAGGTGGAATTCTCAGGTAGAGTCCTTGGATCTTGAGGTCATTGATTCTGTGCATTTGTTTCCAGACTTGTTCTCCGCAAATGCAGACTAGAGAACTTGATCACAGGTGGCTCATTCATCTCAAAATTGCTTTATTTCAGAATACATGTGTGTTCTTCTTTACTTCCTAAACATGTCTTGCGGCTGATTTTTAAATTTTTTTTATTTTTTATTTTAAAGAAGGTAAAATTAAACACAACAAAACAGAACAAAATAGGACATAAAAAGCAATGTAAGATATAAATTTCAAAGCTAGATGACCTGAGATCTTCACTGTCATATTGTCTCTTGTTTTCTTCCAAATAGTTGTCCATGTCTTTGCATACAGAGAATTCATACAAAACAACATAATATAAAACTGATCTGAACAGAATGAGGAAGGCGTTTTAGGTCTTCAAAACCAGACAATAGGGAGGTCACTAATGGCTGTCATAGTCTCTCCTCTTCAAAATAGCTGTCCATACTTTCATGTTTATTGAAGTTTAACAAAACAAAACAGACAGGTGGGGAGGGGTTGCTTGGTTTCCTGGTGCTCCAGGTCCCAGCATGGCTCGGGTCCTGGTAAACGCCAGTGGCTCCCGTTCTGGGCCACCCACCGGAGCCTGCCACACTCAAAGCCACTCACCAGAGGGGAAGGGATTGCTTGGTTTCCTAGTGCTCCTGGTCCTAGGCCACCAGAGCCTAAATTTTATTATTTTAAAATGCTGGGACATTTGTTTATATGACTGTTAAAGTGTGAGTGTTGTTAATCTTTGCAAATGAAACCATGGAGTGGTCTTTTTGTATATTGTAATGACATGGTCATTATTTTTTTACCTAGGCTAATACTCTGAAAATTTATGTAGTGTATATAGGTAGCTTTGTATCACTGTGACAAAATATTCAAGAGGATCTGCTTATGAGGAGGAAAGGTTTACTCCGGCTCACGGCTTTAGAGATCTCTGTCTGTGGTTTCCTGGGCCTGGGTGAGCCAGTGTGTCTCAGCTGGAGCACACCACGCACAGAGGAGGCCTGTTCGCCTCTGGGTGACTGGAAGGCAGAAGGAGGGAAGAGGGCTGTGATCTCAGTCTCTTCTTCAAGGCACCCCAGGGACCTCGCTTTCTCCTATGAGCCTGACTCCTGACAGTTCCTGTCTCCCAGTCCTGCCACTGTCTGGACACCAAGCCTTACCAGGGCCTTTAGGGAATGCTTTAGATCCACACTTTAACAGCATGGCAGTTGATTTTAACCACATTTTATAGTCAGAACTTTGATAATGAGAAAATGTCCTTCGTTCCGTCACCACCACAACCATTTTAATAGTTTAGAATGCAAATGAAACTTCCTGGTGATCATGTCTTTTCTTTCCAGATAGGAACCAAGGCTTCAGCCTTCTCAGTTCATTGACTGGGACAAACCACAACCTTGGGACAACAGAGTCACGTCACTCAGAGGTAAAACCTCTCTTGGATCTTTATCTTCTTTGGCCTTAATTTCTCCTTCTCATTATGACTATGTACACATTCATCATTTTTTCTTTTCCATTTATTTATTTGTTTATTTGGTACCAGGGATCAAACTCACAACCTCATACTTGCCAAGCAGGTGCTTATGCCCCTGAGCTAAATCCCCAGCCCTTCTTTTCCATTTATGAGGAGACAGAGAGTATGAAGAATAGATGACAGGAGGGACTTGTGTAGGCTTGCTGTGCCAGGCACCTGTTGGAGGTGGCTCATTTCAGAGCCAGAGATATAGTCGCAGCTTGGACTGCTCTGTGTTTTTTCCCAGAGTGTTTTTTGAGGTACACCTGGATTTGCTTGAGACCTCCTGATCTTTTAAGTAGAAAATAAAATAGTTGTTAAATGCTTCCTGTGTCCAAGGCCCTACAAATGTGAGGCAAAGCCTTTGCCCTCTGTGAGCTGATGGTCTGGTCTCAGCCCTCTGCATATGGCCAAGCCTGAAGCCACATGCCGTGTAGTAGCTCCACAGAGCTTTCTCATCAGCCTCTAAGCTGCGGGTATTTTGATTATGAACATTTTTTACATTTTGAGTATAACATGGATCTTTTAAAATAATTTTAAAGGTATGTTGTCATTGGTACCTACTAATTTTATAAAATCCTGGGTTTTAGTTTGGTGTTTTCATATGGCATACACATATTTGGATCATACCTATTTCCCCATCACCCTCTCTTTTGTTCTTTACTGCTGAATAGTACTGCACTGTATGAATTTCTCACTTTCTTCATTCTCCTGTTGATGGGCACCAGGCTGCTTCCATGTCTTGGCTATTAACAGTTGTGCTGCAGTAAATGTGAGTACACAGGTATCCTTAGAGTGTGCTGACCTTGGAGTATATAGTAGGGCCCTGGTGTTCTATTCTTAGCTTTTTGAGGAAGCTCCATAGAGATTTACACAGTGGTTGTACTAATTTACATTCTTTACCAACAGTGCAGAGGGTCCCTCCCTACCAATCCTCCCATTCCCATCCTTACCAGAATTTATTATTTTTGTATTCTTAATGTTAGCCAGCCATGCGTGTAGCACGTGACAATCCCAGCTCTGGGGAGACTGAGGCAGGAGGATTGCTGTGTGTTTGAGGACAGTCTGGTGTACATAGTGAGTTCAAGGACATAGAGTGAGACTCTGTCTCAAAAAACAAAACAAAACCTGTCTGACTGGGATGAGATAGAATCTCAATATTGTTTTGCTTTGCATTTCCCTAATGGCTAAAAATGTTGAAAATTGTTTTTGTAAACTCATTGGCATTTGTACTTCTTTTGAGAAATCTGTTGTATTCAGTTGCTCATTTATTGATTGGGCCATGTGTGTTAGTGAGTTGGGATGTGTGTGTGTGTGTGTGTGTGTGTAAAGATTTTTGAGTTCCTCGTATATTCTAGGTATTAATCCTTTGTTGAAAAAGTACTGGCAAAAAAATTCTTTTACTTTGTAGGCTGTCCTCTCACTCTGTAGGTTTCTTTCTTGTGCAGAACCTTTTTAATTTGATATAGTCCCATTTGTGAATTCCTACTATTTTAGTAGGTGAGACATTGTGATTTTGTACAGGGATCTATTTCATTCTATGGTATTAATTTTACCACCACCAATACATTTAAGAAGCTATCTTCAACATCTGTTTTTGGTCCTTTAGTCAGGAATCCTATGGCTGTAGTTAAGTGGGTTTGTTTCTGTGTCCTTCTGTTGCATTGGTCTATGTGTCTATTGTTGTGCTAGTACCCTGCTGTTTTTGTACGATCACTTTGTAGTATAATTTGAAATCAGGTATTGTGATGCCTCTAGCCATGTTTCTTTTGCTTAGGATTGCTTTTGCTAGTCTGGATCGTATGTTTCCATATGAATTTTAGGATTTTTTTCTAGTTCTATAAAGAGTATCGTTGGAATTTTGATAAAAATTGTGTGGAATTTGTAGATTGCTTTCAATAATATGGATATTTTACCAAAATTGATTCCACCAATCCATGAACATGGGAAGCTTTTCATCTTCTCGTGTCTAATTCTGTTTGTTTCTTCAGGGTGCATAATTTTCATTATAGAATTCTTTCACTTCCTTGGTTAGTTGATTCCTAGGTATTTATTTACTTTTTGAAGCTGTTGAGAAGGAAATTATTTTCCTGACTTCTTTCTCAGCTATTTGATTGTTGGTTTATAGGAAAGCTGTTGATTGTTTAAAGTTGATTTTGTACCCTACTACTTTGCTGAATTTGTGTGTTAGCTCTAAAAGCCTTATGGTGGCTCTTTGGGGGTTTCCTAAATATATAGGATTATGTCATCTGCAAATTAGGGTGATTTGACTGTTTTTTCCTATTTGTGTCCCTGTTAGTTCTTTTTCTTGCCTGATTCCTTTGCCTCAGATTTCACCAGCTGTCCTGAATAGGAGGCCTGGCGTCAATGTCCACCTTGCCTCCCTGATTTTAGAGGAAATGCTTCCAGCTCCTCCCCTGTGGTATAATGCTGACAACATGCTACTCACATGATACGGAAAGCATGTTAACCCGGTAACCTGCTGGGAAGTTCTATATCAGTTTCACTGTACGATCTTAGTTGGCTTTATTCTGACTTGTTCTGTATATATATACTTTCAAAAAAAAAAAAAAAAAAAACAGAGTCAGAACACTTGCTAGTCTCTCCCTGAGGACAGCTGCTCCTGGGTTAGGAATTTTCAGCCTTTTTAAAATAGGAGCAGCCTTGTCATTCTTTCTTTTTTTATGTACAGCTCTTATTGCCAGCCGGGGAGTGTGAGCCTTTTGGGGATTTATATGTGACGCAGCCAACTATTAAACTGTTGTTTCTGTGTATTTTCTTCTAAGCAGCTCCCTTTGCCAGCGGCAGACAGGACAGAATCGCTCCTGGACCGCGGTGCTGCCTCTAACACAGTGGATGCCCAGGGCGACTGCCTTGTGGGTAAGTCCTGTGGCCCCCAGGAGCCAGCTCTGTGGAGTTTGGAATAAGACACCCAGGCAGGAATTATTGAGGGGGCGGTCAACTGTGAACTTGCAGAAGGGAAGGAAATAGATGATGTACCACAAATAAACATGAGCCTTGCTCATGATGTCAGAAAAAAGAAGAAAAATACATATAGGTACCAGTTCCTCTTTATTTTTTTTAGTAGGATTTTGATTCAGATCACGTTCAATAAGATGGATAGAACCAGCCTTCGAGTTCTGTGTTCCACAGTTTTTGTCATAGTATTTAACAGTAGTCAGAATTAATGGTGACAAGAATAACGCAATACTATATTCATACGCCCTTTCTCATCCTTTTGGAGTTTTTTAATATCTACTTTCATTTGGTAATGAAATTCGGCAAAAAAAGAAAAAGTTCCATAGAGAAGATATTGACACCTAGAGAAATATAACAACTTGTTCAAGGATATCTCACACTTGGAACCAAGTCCGCTGTCCAAAGCCAGAAAGCCAAGGAGCTTAGAAATGACAGTAAGTTTTCTTTGGTTGGGAGAATGACTGATTCTCCTACCTGATTGTCATGCTATTGAGCACTCACAGGCCGTAACACTTCTTTAAAGTTGGTTTTCTGATTTTAAGATAATCTCTATAGAAAACTTAGGCAGTTTGTTATAGAAATGTATTAAGAGAAAATTGGCCAAGGATTTAGCTGAAGTGGCACAAGGGCCCACCTGGCAAGTGCAAGGCTGTTTGATCCCCAGTATCAAAACATAAAATTTAAAAAAATTTAAAAAAAGAAAATGAGACCTAATTTTTCTTTTCCCCCTTTGATTTGCTCAGTCTTCTCTTTTCTGTTGAACCTTCCCTGTTCAGTGTACCTCAGAGCAGTGCACGTTTCTGCCATTGTCACCATTCCCTGGCTCAGTGACTGCTCTGCAGGGCGAGGACAGGCTGACTGGGGCTGACACTTGTGGTCTCTAGTTTTCACAGCTGAGTCTCATTTCAGGTAAACAGGATAAATAAACATCTTTTCATTGTCAGAAAAAGAAGTTACATAAATAAAAGAGTTCTAGAATAAACCCACTGGTATTAGATTGGACTCTTAACATATCAATATGAACTCCTGGCTATAAAAATAAACTTCGAACAGAGAAATGAAGGCAGGTGTGTGTGTGTGTGTGTATTAGTACATGTCTTTAGTGAGCACTCAGGTCCTGGCTTCTAGGTGCCAGCTCCAGGAGAAGGAACTGGTGCTGTCCCAGAATGGTTGATGCCTGGGCCAGGGTCATCTTGCGTCACCAGGAAGTCAGGAAGTGCTTAGCACAGAGTGTGGGAGCGTGGGACGGGCACAGGAACCAGCCGAGCACCTCCAGGGATGAAGGTTTGAGCAGTGGCCAGCAAAGTAAGTTCATCTGCGACTGGGTTATAACTCACAGAGTAAACGCCCACGAGTCTGTTCTAACATAAATAAATAGGAAAGAAAAGAGTCCTCCTCCTCATGAATAAATTCCAGTAAAAGGAATGAGGGAAGTGCAAAACCAGCACAAGGCACATACCACAGTAATAGCTTTTGCAGGCAAGGTTAAAATTAGTGGGTGAAAGTTAGAGTAAAAGCAGGTTATTTGCATAGTCTAGAAATTTCCCCCCTACAGTATTTATTGATTTCAAAGAAGAACTTAGGATCTGTTCTCTGGAGAAACCAGACAGACCCCTTATTACTGTTAGCAGTAATATGGACGTTGGATGCCCCAGCGGGAGGCCCCGTGGAAAGCACAGGCCTCCGCTGTGGTCTCACCTGTGATGTCGCAAGAACACCTCAGCCCAGGCTGCGGTATACCATGCGGATCAATTGAGCAGTACTCTGCTGAAGTGTCTAAGCCAGGAAAGACAAGGACCAAGGACCACACTGGGGGAGGAAAGGGGAACCGGGACAGCTGAACTGTATTGGGCCCTGGGACAGAGAGAGGATACTAAGGGGAAGGGTGATAAAGTCTGAGCAAAGCCTCTAGGTGGGTTAGTAGCGTGGAGTTAATATTAACTGCTTTTTGATACTTGTAACAGCATAAGGTGTTCACACAGGGGACGGTGGTTGAAAGACTTAGGAAAATTCTGTGCTATTTTGGCTCATCTCTGTGAGATGAAAGTAATTTCAAAATTAGTGGCAGGGCAATGTTGGGAGGCACCACAGCAGTGCAGGTGCTAGGACAGCCCTGAACCATATGGACTGGTCGGGAAGATGCTCTGAAGCTGGTGGGCCAGGAGTAAAGAATGAGTTCTAATGCCCATTAAAAGGGCTTCGATGAGGAAGAACGTGCTGACGTGTAGTAGGTCAAGGATCTGTAGTGGGAAGATAGGAATCTGAACTGGCCCTGCCTTTGAGCAGTTAGCTGAGTTCAGATGAGTTCATTTGAAAGTAACGGCTTTTTGTCTGTAAGCTGTGGGCAGTGATGTCTGTTCCCACCAGCTTACCGAGTTGCTGTCATGGTGCATCTGACAAAGCTGGTTGTGCTGTAAAGTGTGCTATCACTTTGGGTCACGGTTCTGAATCAGGGTGGCCTTCAAAGGCAGAATCACCTAAATGTCAGTTCATTTAGTAACTGTGACCTAAGCAGGTCACTCCAGCCCTGCACTGTGGCCCTTCTCTCCTCGTCACAGTGTTGTGGGCACAGTCAGTTACTTACTATCCACTGGCAGGAGCGCCAGGGATAAGCAGACGAGGCACTGTGAGTGGGCAATGGGGACTTGCTGGGCACCCAGGTTCCGGCCACCTTCGTTGAAGCCAGCCTTGCTTGCCTCAGGTCTGGGTCCTTGGTCAAGGCATAACTGATGCGTGACAAATCTTATTCCAGATCCCATGTTAGATCTGGATATTCAAGAATTAGCCAGCCTTACCACCGGAGGAGGAGATTTGGAAAATTTTGAAAGACTATTTTCAAAACTAAAGGAAATGAAAGGTAATGAACTCCTTTGTGTCTGACATATTTCCATATTGATGCTAATGTATTTTACATTGAAGGCTTTTGTTTTGTAACTGCTGGATTTGAGTCCCGGCTTAGCTGTACTGAGAAAATTTACCTGCTGGAGGGTGGGGGACCTCTGCCATCCTCCGTTGATAAAATTTCACCGTGGAAAATTTTCTTCCTTTATTCTCTGTCTTCTTTCTTTCCTATTTTGCACCCCTCTTTTTTGACGTGTCTCATTAACATAGCATCTCTAGGTCCCCACCAATTTACTTATGTCATTTCCACATGGACAGTTTGGAAAATTTCAACGTCCTACCATCAGTGATGACCACTGTAAACATACATCTTTGAAACCCACATCCCACCTTCTTGTGTTAGAACAGCCCTATATTACAGATTCCCTTGTGCTACTTGACAAATTTCCTAAGATATGTTTTCTCCCTAGACAAGGCCGCGACACTTCCTCATGAGCAAAGAAAGTTGCACGCAGAAAAGGTGAGAAAATCAGCTAGGTATTTATTAAGTACCTACAAAAGGTCAGTGTTGTCATATGTCACACTGGTGTACCTCTCAAGTGTCTTAGTGGAAGCTTTCATCGGATATTATAATTAAACATTTGTACAGTAGTAATAGGATTAGTTCAGTCAAGTAAGATTTCTCAAATGTGTGTTGAGTGACATGGAGCCCACACTGGGACTTGGGGCTTTTGTCCCAGCTTTGGGGCTGGGAGATGCTTAGCTGTTCTGTTATGACCAACAGGACATATGTTGTTGGCCGGAAAGTTACATGCCTGATGGTACTCCATTATATGTCTGTATCATAATTTATCCAGTTCCCCTTTGGAGATTTAGGCCAACAGTATGTTTATTTATTGCTTCTTTAAAAAATGAAAATGTGCATATCCTTATACATCCCTCCATGTGGAACTCTGATCATATCCTTAGCTTAAACTCCTAGATGTGGAAGTCCTGGATCAAAGGGTATTTAAGGATTTCAGTTTTGCCAGAGGCTGGAAGGCAGCATGCGGAAATTTAGGTCTGGGTTAGTTCAGAGAAGGACTGACATTCAGCTGTTGCCTAAAACCTGTTGCCTGCTTCTCTCCACAGGTGGCTAAGGCCTTCTGGATGGCAATTGGGGGAAACAGAGATGAAATTGAAGGTCTTTCTTCTGATGAAGATCACTAGCTTATCCCTGCTATGCTGGACTCACAAGGATGCTAGCAGTCTCTCCCCAGGATACTCCCCTACTGGAGCCAGTTATGTTTTTCTGAGCTCTCCATTATTATGTTGGCCACCAGATTTGTTTTTAGGGTCCCTCTTAATGTTAGTTTTTAGTAAGGAGTTTGGAGAAGTCTTTATCCTTGAAGAGTATAGTGACAATGAAAATTTCTCAAATTCTTTTTTGTTATGGGAGCGGGATAGGGTGAGTCTCGGGAGTCTGTGTGATTTGCCCAAGTTACAGCAGAAGGAAACCAAGCAGGCACTCTCCGCCAGCCTTTGTGTCGCCTGCCCTGCCCCCATACCACATGGCCCAGACAGGAGCTGGCGGGATGATGGGAATGTCCCCATTCGAGGGGCTTGCAGCTCGAGCTCTGCTGTTTTTTCCTGGAAGAAAAGAGCCTCAGAGTTCAGCATGTGCTGTAGCGTGAGAAGCTGGGCAAGGGTGGCGGCCCCTAGGTTTCCATCTATCTGAGCACTTCTGAGCGTTTCTTTGACATGTGGTGTCTGAGCTTGCACTGCAAAGAATTGGAAAGCCAGTGCATATTTTTAGACCACCAGAAGTAAAGCACAGGTTTCCTATCTGGTGTGGGATAAGGAAGCTCGCTGCAGGGACGCCGGGGGCCTGTGTGAGAGCCCAAAGGCTCTGGTGTAGGTCCCGAATACAGTATGTTGATGCCTGAAGTGGTCATGTCACCACGATATGAAGACACTCTCCTGCCTTAGCCTTCTCTGTTGCTGCTTGAGCTCCCAGAGCTGTCACTCTTCAAGCCTCAGAACAAGCAAGTGGCCCCTTCACTGTGTGTGAAAGTGAGACACGTCACAGCCACAGGAGGCGCAGCGGTGGGCACCACGCACACACCTGAGCGCCTTGTTTCTCTCCCAGCATGGAGGCCTCTTCCCTGGGTGCCTTTCCAGCTTGTAGCCCTGGACGCTGCTTTGTGCTTTATCCAGGGCCATGTACAAGGGAGTCAGCCCCAGAGAAATCAGCCGAGAGCAGAGCCTCACAGGACAGAGGAGGGCACAACAAATAAAAATCCCTGATCTCTTTCGGTGGACACTTGGGTAGTATGTGTCGTCCATCCTCTCTGGTCTGTCACTGCCGTGACCCCGGACTGGTGCAGTGCAGCAGATGTTGGTGCTGGCACACGGACCTGTGCTGGTTCTGGTCAAGTGTGGGCTTTGAACCCAGGTTAGCTCACAGCAAGACTAAGCCTCAGACCCACTGCAGGTAGCAATGTGTAAGGCCCTGGGGAGCCTGAGACAGCAGAGGACGGCATGTTGCAGGGGCCACCACGCCTAGTGGAGCCTGTAGAAAGTGGCATCCTGGGGAACAGTGGACACTCCTGCTTGCTGCTCCCACCCCCCTTTCTGAAGCTCTTTGCCTCTGTGGCTCACTGCCCAACATCCCACTGGTGGAACTGATACTTCTCTGAGGTGATGTGCTGCTGTGAGGTAATGTTTCTTGAGGGGGCCGTGTTACCCCCCCCCCCCCCGATTAAAAGTGGAAGGGAAATTTGCTTTGACTTTGACATAAAGGTGGAACACATACTTAAAAGAGAAATTTTTAGAAAATGTATTAAGCCACTAGGGAAACGGATTTAAAAAACCCTATGAATGTGATTTTATGGGTCAAGCAAAACCAGGTGATTAAAGTGTGACTTATTTCGAGAGCCTGCTAATGAGTGTAATTATGAATTCATTGTTTTTCTGTAGGGGTGTGAGTGGGGTAAGCCTTCTCCCTCCTCCAGACTAGGTGCATGAGTGAAGAATCTAAGGGTTTGTCAAATGCATCCCATAGGAGTCCACCAGCCCCTTGTGTAGTGTGTTCTCATGCTTTCAAGACCTCAGCCATCTGGGAATCTGGAACCCTCTAGGGCACAGGACGGGGGTATCTCATGGTTGCTACTACTGGCTCTTGTTTGATAAGACTGACCTTAAGCTAATGCTGCAGTAACAGTTACCATCTCGAACTTGACCTGTGTGTCTGTTACAGACCGTGCAGCTGGGGTTAAAGAGACCAAGCTTTTCCTTACACTCTCCATTGGCGTTACTTTGCTCTCTGCACATAGTATCCCCGTAGCCTCCATTGGGAGGTGTGGTTCGCCTTTGGTGACTATGATCGCAGCATTTGAAAATCTGGGAGTGCGGGAAGGAGGGAGAGACAGGATATAACCACCCTCCCACCCCCGCTCCAAGAATACCATGTGTTATATAATAATTCTAGAGTGGTAAAGACATAGATATTTTTATAATTTTAAAATATGCTGTCCTGCCAGGGAAGACGACTTGACAGAACCAATTTGCTTGCTTTCTATTTCTAGACCTTGGCCACATCAGACTGGGGGAAGCTAAAGACCCAGAGGAGCTAGACCTAGATGGCTGAGGAATGTGGCGCACAGTTCCAGGACCACAGAGCACAGCGGCCATTCCTACGAACCACTTGTACACATGAAGGTGACACACCTGATTTTGTGTCCCACTGGGGAGCAGCAGGGTTAGCATTGTTGTCCTGGCCTGGTAGATTCTTTAAGTCTGAGCCAGCCAGTCTCTTCACAGTGTCCACTGAATATGGGAAGTAGCCCAGGCCTGCCATGGAAAAGCACTCTCAGGGGTCGGTCTGAGGTCTGATGTGGGCTGTGCTGAGCTGGAGTTGGCTGATGCAGTGGTAAACTTAGCAAGTGAGGATCTCGTGTGCTCAGGTGTGCGATTCAGGACACATTCCAATTTACAGTTTGGATGAATTCATTGTTCTTCAGTAGGGTTGTGAGTGGGTTAAGCAAACTAATCGGTCTCTGGTTAGATAGATTTGCTCTCCACACCCCACACATACACACATACTCCCCAGCGTTTCGCATCACATACTGAACCATGTTAGAAGGCTATGGGTAGAGAATATATAAGATCTGGTCAATTATATTGAGCCTGGTGCCACCTTGGTACAAGTGTAATTTGAAAACAGTGTCCTGATGTTTCTACAGTTTGTCTTCCAAAGTAAAATGCTGAATGTATGAAAAAGGATTCTAGTTTTTGATTCAGATTCCTTTTGAGGTTTAGTGATTTATTCTTGCACCTCTGACACGTAAGCTTGCAGAAAAGGTTTCGGAAAATCCCTTAACTTTGGTATTTCAGCATTACCTATGTCTGCTACCAATGTTACAGGCCTCATCTTTTGTGTGGATGGCTTTGCATGGAGTTATCTTAGTGTTAGAAATGTCCTACTTGGTTCTAAGCTGTTCCCATCTGCAGGATAAAGAAGGAACAGGACAGCGAAGAACAGCAGGACACCTTTCCTCAGAGCACTCATGAGCCTTATTGCAGCTCTTCCGTGATGTGCAATTCTGTTTTGTTGCATGTGGGAAAACCATCATGGTTATGACTGCATCCTTAGAACACAGGCTTGGGAGGAAGAAAGAAAATTCTTCCCAACCCTTTGTGTATGTCATCTGTAGGTGCTGCGGGTCATCTGAAGCCACTCATGCTCAGCTTGTTAATGAGGCTCCCTGCTTATCTCTGCTGCAGGACATGAGTCAGTGCCTCTGCCCTTTCTGTTACCTACCAGGTGGTTTTAATGGTGCAGAAATGTGGGCTAAGTAAGGCCTGGAGTTGTCAGTACTTTATGGAAACGGCAGCATAGTTTGGAAAAGATTCTTTTAATCTGAAGTTGAAGACATGCTTTGTACCAGTTGCACCTCTCCAGGAAACTTCCAGAATGTTGTCAATATAGTGAGATGGCCTCGGCCGTGCTCCTGCTGGACGGTGAAGGCTGAAATAAGGATCAGGGTCCAGCCAACTCTAGGCTACCCTGTAGTGCCAGACTCAGAACCTGGCACAGTGGAGGACAGAGACTCATAGAAGGATGTGGTTTGTCTCTTCCAGGAGCTCAGTGCAGCTCTGGTGGGAGTAGGGGGCAAGCAGAACAAGGTTGAAACCAGCAGAGTTCCACTCACTGCTGTGGAAGGTAAGGGCACGGTGGAATAGGCAGAGCAGAGGGTGTAGCTCACAGCGGTGCTGCTGAGCCAAGTGTGTGTGGGAATTGGTCGGGAGCTCCACAGCCAAGTTCATCGGTCCAAGTTGGGCCTGAGTGTGCACACTGACGTGCCCAATGGTGCTGCTGGTGCCTGCTGGAACCACTGGCATATGGAAAGTGACACTTGAATTGAGCTAAAAATATCAAGAATGTGTAGACAAGTGGAGGCAACAGAATTCTAAGTTACAGTGTAAACATCTATGGAAATAAAACAACAGGCCCGTTAGGAAAACCCAGGTAGTCCAGGTGGAGAAGGGTGATAGGCGAGGTTGGAGTGATGTCAGGGAGGGCCCTGAGTTTGTGCCAACTCTGGAGGAGCCTAGGAGCCATGAGTTTGTGGGGCACCTGCTGGAAAGGTGCCCTGCCTTAAACACTCCAGGAGAATGTGGGCACAGTCCTGCACTGCCTGGTCATGTAACGGTGTTAAAGATTCTGAGGCTGAGGGCTGGGGATTTAGCTCAGCAGCATAAGCTCCTGCCTTGTAAGCAGGCAATCATGAGTTCGATCCCTGGTACCAATAAAAAGGAAAAAGACAAAAAAAATAAAGATTCTGAGGCTAGACATGGACCCAGTCCTGTGATTAGAAGTGTTGGCCATGGACAGACATACAGGGAAAGTAGTTAATTTTGCCACATATTTTCTATCTCTGGAATAAAGGGAGGTCAAATTAGAATTTTGGAAGAATTATAATAGGAGGTAATTGGGGACTGTATTTTAGTGTCATTACTTCTGTCACATATAAGGACTTAACAGACTAACCCAGTGGGAAGGAATGCAAAAGATTTGCCAGGATAGAATCCACTAGATAGGGTGGTAGTTGATTATTTATTCAGCAAAAAGGTCATGGCCAAAAAAAGACAAGGGTACAAGAATAAAATGTAAACCCTGATCCCCAGGAACATGCAGCTTAGAAGGGGAGACAGCACACGATGGAGAAGCCTGTGGTGACAGACTCACGAATGGCTTCCCAGAGGAGACATTTAAACCAGACTGCAGAGCATCGGTGAAAGCCTGCAGGACTCTTGGTATGTGTCACCAAGCTGGGCAGAGGGCAGTAGAGAGCAGAGGCTGATGTTCCAAGCAGAGGGAAGAACAGGAGCCATCATAGGGATGAGGGTGACACATGGAACTAGTTGCTTGGGTTGCAGAAGGCAGGGCGGAATGGTGGGAGCTGGAAGGTAGCCTGTGTTCCATGATAAAGTCCTGAGAGTTTGTGCAGTGGACTGAAGATGCTGGGGTACACATTAAAGGCTTCTCAGCTCATAGCACTGTGTAGTGGTGGATCCTTCCAGGGTAAGGTCATCAGGTCACAGGTTCTGGGAGGCTGGCTCCTTTCCATCCATGTCTACCTCCCAACCACTGTGAGGTTAGCACTTCCACCATGATGCATGGCAACATAGGACCAAGCCACCACGGACTACCACCTCCAGAACTGTGAGTCAAACCTTTCCCCTTACTGTCACAGGTATTTTGTTACAGAAACAGCCCATCATTGGCAGGGTTACTTTACAGGACAGCAGGCTGGAGGCCAGGAGACCAGTTAGGTGCACCCTGGGGTATGGGCCAGTGAGTGGGAGTTGGGAAGTAAAGGGACTATACATACAAAGTGACTTCTGTGGGTGTAGACTGGAGAAATGATCATGCCAAAAGTGGGTAAAGCCCAGAGGACAAGAAGGTGTGTGAATGAGGAAGACGAACTGCACCTTTCACATCATGAGCTTGAGGTCCTAGTGTAATTGTGGTGGAGCAATGGCATGTGTGCCACAGTGGGCTGTTTAACATGACTCACCATCACTGTCCTAGTGGCACTTGCAGGTACCAGTGACCAGCAAGCCTGTGGACAGGAATCTGAAGTCCTGACACACTGACTGCAAATACTCACTGGGGTGTCTTTTGTGTTTGTGTGGCTTGAAATTTCAAGGGTGGACACCGTCACTTAGGGAGAGCGGTGTCCAGAGTGCAGCCAGTAGCCTACAAACTCCAGTCCAAGAGGGGACTGGGAGGGTTACTCAGCCAGGGCAGCCTGAGTACCTGTAAGCAGAAGGGGAGAGGCTGCTGCCAGCCAGGAAGGAGGGAAGGAGCTGGTGTGGAGGACAGTCCACCGGCGCTGCTGTGAGCTGGAGCAGGTCTAACAGTTCATTAGTCGCTGATTTGAGCCCACTGTTGAGAGCGCACCACCTAAGGGAAGGCCTTTCGGAAAAATTGTAAGACAGGTGCTAGAGCAGGGGTTTGGATTCAGACACAGTCACTGCAAGGGCTGCTGCAGAGGCCTCAGTGAGGCCGACTCCAGCTGCCACCTCCACAGCTGCTGCCCCCAATCCACCCTTTGAAATGTTTGAAAAGCAAATGGTATTTTACATCTTGATCATCTTAAGCCATGTAAACAATTTTAAAGTCTCTTTTCTCATTGGGATTTGGAATTCAGAATGAATTTTCATTAGAACTGACAGTGCTGTGAGCTGGACCATATGGAAAGGGCTGGCCAGGAAAGGCCTTGCAGAAGCCAGAGGTGGCAGGGCTAAAGGTTGGTGGTGCCTTGCAGAGTGTCAGAGGGACTGGGCAGGGTCTGCACAGAAGGCACAAAGGGTGTGATTCTTTCCTGGATGACAGGGTGTGACTGGGATGGCAGGGATTCCAGTAGCACTGGAGCCGGCAGCTTTGGGGCTTATGACACGAGCAGAAATAAGGCCGAGCTCCTGGGCTAGGAGCTTTTCAATGAAAAGTTTATTAGAAGGACACTTACAAGAGCAGAAGAAGGGAAGAGACGACATGAATCATCTTTAACAAGTGTGGGGGGGGTACAATACTTAAACAGGTGCGCTGCTTTTAAGATATAAAAGTTAGAAAAGTCTAAAACACTATAAATACATACATGCTTTTTACAGAGTAAAAGGCTGGCTGCGTAGCGCAGGGAGTCGGCATGCTCTGGCCTGTGCCCGCCCCTCCCTACACACCAGGACAAGGCTGCACAGGGCTGGCGCCGGGCACTGAGGCTGAGGGCAGGCTTCTCGACAGCCATGGCTCCGCAGCTCCAGAGGAGATTGTTACCCCTAGCAAAGGGCCGGGATCTGACTTGGAGCTGCTGCTTGCTCAGCCAGCCCGGCTCGCTGCCTCTGATGCTGAACTGGAAAAGCCACTACGGCCTCCACTGAGGCTGAGAACTGGCCCACCTCTTCCAGCTGCTGTCCACAGGAGATGCCTTTCCAAATGTATTTTTAAAAAATTAGTTATCTGTCTGAAAAGTTTTAAGAAATTATTACATAAATATAGAAACAATGCATTACTTCTGCATTTAAAAAAAAAAATCAATGACAGAATCACTTAGAATTTCTCAATCCAGTTACATGAATTGCAAGTTTCCTTCCTATGAAAGCTGTGTTCCTGAGGGTCCCTGGGGTCGCAGGCTGACACCTCCCCATCAGGGCTGTCATGCATGCCTAGCTGTGTGACCCACACCCTGCAGCGAATATCTTTCTGCTCTCCACCTGCTTGAGATGGGCCCGGAGGGAGAGAGGCCGCCAAGATTTACATGAGGGGATGTCAATGCCACATGAAGGAAAATGGTACCACTTGGCTGTGTCCGGTTTTCTTGTAAAGAGGAGATGCACAGAGGTTTGGGGGAAAGTCCCAGCTCTAACCACGTAACACCACATGATAAAGCGGGTGCAGGGCTAAGCCTGTGCTGCCTCCAGAGCTGCCCCCCACAGTAAACCGCAGCACCAGGAGCGGCGTGAGGCTGGGAAGGAAACCAAGTGCCTGCCGTCTCCCCCAAGTCTCCTGTCTGCGCCTGACAAGCACATGCTGCTTACAGAAAACTCTGTTCTGTGGTTTGGGTTAGAGCGTTTAGTCCTGGAATACGTCCAAGCTCTAGGAAGCCAAGGAGGAGACAGAAAAACAAAACAAACTAAGCACATGATCTGTGCTACAGCTCATTTCAATACATTAACAATTTAAAAAAAATAATCACCATGGTCAGTTAAAAAAAAAAAGTACAACATAGCATCAGGACAATGGAGAGGTCTGCCAGCAGTGTTGCCCGTGTGGGTTCTTCCTAAGAGCCAGAGGTCCTGCTCTTGCCTCTGGCTCCTCTCTCAATGCCAGCCAGGTGACCCTGGCATAGGCCCGTGACCCAGCCCAGCCGGCAGCTTCCCGCATGCGCTGCCATTATCGGCCTTACGAAACAAAGTGGTGAACTGGGGAGTGCAGGAGGACAAGGACTGGATGCTGGCTCTTCGGAGACAAAGCCAGGGACCTCTGCCCCAGGGCCAGGCCAGCACAGGTAGTCATGTGGCCTAAGAGAACTGTACTTAAAACTGTTGTCAATAGCCACCCTTAAAGTTTTTAAATGTATAAATGCCATTTGTACAACAGGATTTAAAACTAAGAAAACTAGCTTTTTGTGGCTTAGAAAGAACACTAATTACACATGCCCGAAGGACCTCTGTTATGCTGTGTGATGAGCTCTGTGCCCCTGGCCACCCTCTATGCCCATGCTCAGTGTCAGTGATGATTTCCTCGTATGTCCTCCTCCGGTGGTCTGTAACAAGAAAGAGCCAAGGAAACAGCCTTTGGAAAAACACAGAATCCAAACTTCATGCCTCCTAGAAGCAACCATTAGATCTGGACACTGAGTTCTGACATCATTCAAATACAGCCGACCGTGAGCCCAGGACCTCTGGGCTCAGGCTGTCCCTGAAGCTGGATTCTGAGTGCCTCCAGGATAACCCCACACCCAGGAAGCCTTTAGATCACACAGCAGGTGGGGAACGCAGGCCCTCCGAGACCACTGCCCATGGCTTTCAGGAGAGGGGCCATGATCCTCGCCACAGAAGCTCAAATGGAATAGTCTTGTCCTGGTGCCAGAACTGACCAGAAACATGAATGTACAAGCAGGAGCCTCAGCTTCCTGTGTTTGCAAGCAGCAGTTCACGGATCTTCAGAGGAAGTGGGGAGTGTTGTATCCTCGCTGGATTCTGGGTCAATATCCCACAGGAAGATCCGCATAGCTCTTACCAAGGTGCTTCTTCCTTCTCTTCTTGTGTCCTTGGGAGGCTTAGGGGGCAGTACTCCTCTGTAAATCTCAAGGCTCCAGCCATGGGGCACAGGATCCTGCAGGTGGGGCACCAGCAAGTGCCCCAAGTGTGCATCATGTATCAGAAATTTCATCACATTCGAGGTTCAGAACCTGCCAAAAGTTACTCTTTCTTCCCTTCACCTGGAATAAGACAGGACTTCCATAGGAAATCCTTTTATTTTTCTGGTATAAATCCATGCAAAAATGTGAGACATTTCATTAAAAGGGAAAAAAAGCAATGAAGAATAAAGTACCAGTTGCAGGTGTCAATCCTGTCGGCTGTATTCTGCAAAAGGCCAGTAAAAGATAGGGCTCTTTTTCCATTTTTTTTTCCAGTTGAAATAATTTACACTAGTTTTCTCCCTCATTGCCACTGGGAGCAGTTCTTATTACAGGGCATCACTGCAGTGGCTGTTGCTGATGGTCCTCCATGGTGAGCTAGATAATCTTCCATCCCAGGATGGAGATGACAGACCTCTCTGCACCAAGCCTGCAATTTTCAAAGGTATAAAAACAATTTTAATAGCCCTTTGATATGCCTATGTTGGCCAGAGATGTTTCCCTTCTGGTGCATTTGCTTCTGTAAAATCCAGCATCCCAAAGCGCCGGCAGGTGGCTCCTCCACAAAGCCTGGCAGAGCTTCACCTTGGGGGGGCGGAGGAAGCAGCTATGTGCCGAGTGTTGCTCTGGTTCCCCAGTCAATGCACCTGCCCAGGACGTTCTTTTAATAGCACATTTTTAGAAGAGCATATGGTAAGACTGACTTACTTAATGTAACCAACTACTCAACCAACACAGCTGCCCTCAGCACTGTTGCTCAGTCCTTGCCTCTTGGCAACACGTAACATCATTCGAATCTCTTCGAGATCAATGTGATAGGCATCTGCTTACACGGTGAGCCTCACAGCCTCCCAGCTGCTCCAGGTGAGAAAGAACAGAGAGCGTCCACGGAAGAGACGGCCATACCACATGCTGCTGGACACATCTGTCACACCCAGCAGTGTGTGTGGAGAAAGGAGAGCCAGAAGGGCTTCCAGGATCACCCACACTGCCCACGTGGAAGGACTTGGCCAGAAAGACACATGAAGGAGGCTTGTGTCGGTCAGAAGTGCCAGAGTCTTGCTTCCAAGGTGGATTCCACACCCCAGTCCTGGACAGAGGTGGTACCACTGGACTCCAGCAGTCCAGACTGCTGTCCTTAGACAAGGAGGCTTGGCGGAGGCCAGGCAGTTAAACACTAGCTATTCACTCACACCACCAGAGTGGAAGCCATTTCTTGTCCTTCAGACGGGGGCAGAGGGCACACGGATTCAGCGGACATCTCTGTTCGTAAAACCCGTCTCTGGGCTTGCTTCTGTGTTTTATGAGAATAGGCTGGTGTCATGTTAAGGGAGAAAAATAACTTCTTCCTGGCCATGAGTAGGTTGACTAGAGTTCTGATCTCTGTCTCCTTCCTGGCTGCTGTGCCCAACCGAACCTGCCGCCCCCAGCACCTCCGTGGCCTCTAAGACACACTGGAGCAGCGGATGCTGGGGGAGCCCATCTGTGTGAGGACCTTGTCCAGCCACTGCAAAGGCCCATTCAGGTGCAGCTCAATCCAGCAGGGGGTGCTGGTGACTGTCTGTCTTCTGCGGAAACAGGGAGAGGGTGGCAGGCATAAATATCCAGTGGGACACTCATCCTATCCAGAATGCATCTTTCTGCTTCTGTGACAGTCCTCTCCCCACAACCAGCGATACATCCCCCGTTATATGCTGTCCTAAGGTGGGTACCAGTACCCTGCCGAAGCAGGCCACACTCCTCCAGCCCAGGAGGACTTGGAGGAAATCAGCTGCTTTTGAGGGAGAAAGAGTTGGACCTTAATCCTTTTACCTCTAGTGATCCATTTTTGGAGGGCTCAAAACAATGGAAGATAATGAAATGTTTTCCAATTCTTGTTTCTTCAACTTTTCTAGGTAACATACAGGAATTTCATGCCAAAGTTCAAAACTCTCCAATTCTTGGCGTAGATGGATTGTGTTAAACATGTAAGGTCAATCCCCGGGCACCACAGAGGCCTCCCAGTGAAGGAGCTTGGCTCTGGCTCTTTCCCTATCAGGTGGGCACCTGCAGCTTCCCCAGTGGCCAGCAAGGATGTGCATCTGCCCAACAGAGGGGTATGTGCAGAGCACCAGCACAGCACGCCTGCCTCAGGTTCCCAGCATGCGGACGCAGTTCTCATCTATGGCCTTATTTTGGAAAATCTTACAAGCAGAGCTAGCCATGGAACAATTATTGGAAAAAATCAAGGGATACCACACGTTTCATTCCCCCCAAAGCACTTTGTCTTCAGGCTGGCTGCTGACGTGCTGGCCGGTAAGCTCCTGAAAAAAGGCCTTCACTGAGCAGAAGCTATCACGTGGAGGCTGGGCCAGCTGGACACATGGGCTGGGCCCTGCACCCTGCTTTGGCCTCTTTGGGGCCAGCTGAAACCTCACTCCCTGGCCCATGGCAGGAGGACGAGACTGTTCTGGGAAGGGGCCACGCCTGCCTGCTGGATGCTGTGTCAGGCCGCCAGGCGGCAGTGACGCAGCAGCCCCACAGGACTGGGTGTGCTGGCAGGGCGTCCCGTGTGGTGACACAGTGTCCCTGCAGAAAGGGGTCTGCTGCCACACAGCCTCTTCCCAGCATTGGGGGCTGAGGGCCTGTGTGCGTCAGCAGAGGTGGTTTGGAGGCGGCCCAGTTGAGGGTGCCTGAGGCTGGCCCCTAGAGGAGAGGAGAGGAGAGGAGAGGAGGAAGGGGCACAGAGGACCTCCCTGGCTCTCCCCTGGGCTCCATCTTCAAATATTTCTCTTCCCCACTAAAATACTAATTTTCTAACCTTTTACTCCCAATTCCCTAAGTGACCTAAGCCGTGGCTAAAAGGTTGGCTGAAACCCTCCTCCTGGACCTTCCGGCCTGGGCTAATCTCTTAGGTCGTCATAACATGGTTCCAGGTCTCCAGGGCACTGACTGCAGTGACTGCTTACATGGTCACTTCCTGGACCTCACAGACTCTGGGGACCTTAGAGCCCCGCTCCCTGGCACCATGAGGCAGACACAGAAGAACAGGAGCTAAAATACAGTACACGGAGGAGGAGGATTTAACAGAGTGAAATCCTCTAGTGAGAATCTGACTTTCCAAAAGTCATGTTCATCGGGACTTCATTAGAAACGGTGGCCCTGGGCCAGCGCTGAAATGGTTTGGCCAGGGTGCAGAATGACTACAAAACAAAACAGATTCCAAACATCTGGAAAAGTGGAGAGAAGGGGAGAGTAACTTGCAGGGCACTGGCTCCTGCTGACGTGTGGGTACCTCTGCGTCCTGCTGCCTGGGAGCTGGGGGCTGGGAAGGGTGTGGACAGGAATGGACACAGCTTCTCATGACCACTGAGCAGAACAGACAGAACTGTGAGTGGGCCACGTTTAAAGTCCTATCCAGACTTGGAAAAAGTTGTGCACATGTAAACTGTCTTCTTTTTTAAGTATTTAAATCTCCTTTCTTGATGCTGATGGTTCCTATCCGAAATCTGCGGTGGTGAACCTGAGGCACACGTGCTGTAAGAGGCTGGTACCTAGGAAATCCTAAGGGGGTCGCTATCACTGTCCTACATGCTTGGGGCCACAAGTCTCTTACGGCAGAGATGAAGCCACCAGCTGAGGGCCTCACTTCCCAGTGGGGACCACTACAAAGCCAGAGGAGAGGCAGCAACCTGGAGGGCACGGTGCTGGTTCAGCCCTTCCACTGCTGAAGTGACAGCAGGCAACTTCCTCTCCTTCCTAGTCCACGTCCTCACCCAGGGCTTTATGAAGAGGAAATGGGACACACTGTTGATGGAACTGAATGCTAGCAAACACCAGCACTCAGGGCTCACAGACCTCACCTGCCTTCCAGACTGTACTCCCTCTAACCCACGGCCTGAAAGCCAGGCTGCTCTTGGAGCGTCTGGTCCGACACTGACCTGTACTCGGCCCCCCAGCCTTTGACGAAGCTCATGCGGATGGTGCACATGCGTGTCAGCTGGTAGACAGCCTCAAAGCCCTGGTTCACAGACTGAGCCAGCAGCGCGGCAAACTCCTGGTTGTTGAAGATCTTTAGGTTGCATCCTGCAGACAGAACAAGGACAGCACTGCTGGGCACAAGGGCACGGTCGTGGCTCCCCTCCTGGTAATGCCACCCCAGGGCCCCCCAGCTTAAATCACACAGCCCAGGTGGTACAAGGTCATCCCAGCAGCAGCCACAGACTCCAAACGTGGCACCACTTCCATGGATGGCCTCGGCCCCTGCCCTCGAGCCTGTGACCTCCTTGTCAGAAGACACCATCCCGCAAGCTTCACCCCCTTCAGCCACAGAACACAGGGAAGGTGGACTGGCAACTGTGCCACTAGGGACGGGAGCCCCACTGAAAGGTGAGCCTGGTCCTGGGCCAGGGGGCCAAGGCAAGACTGCAGGGCCAGAGCCCGGGGACTGTGCTGCGCAGGGCGCTCAGCAGGGAGTGGGGCTTCGCCAAGGCTGCCTCATCAGGGCCAGGACGGGGAGAGATCTGGGTCACTGTTTGCCCTCTGGGCACAGGCCAGGTCATGGAGACACTTGCAGCAAAGGGAAGCAAGGTGTGCCTCCAGTTCTCCAGACAGGAAAACTAGACGGAGGCACAAATAAAGTTTAAAATAAACCTCTTGTTTGAAGTCCCGCTGTCTGAATGCCAGGAATGTGTCAGTCAGGGACAGAAAGACAAAAGCACATGCCAGCATGATCAAAAGGTGAGCCGAGGTGATCTCGAGGGGACCAACACCAGCTCCTAATCTTGCCATGGGGCTCTGCCCACCACCTTCTGTGACCTTGTGTCTCCCTTGCAATGCAGGACTGGCCTCCTGGGTCATTCCAGTTCTGCCACTCTGTGAGCTGGCAACCTCCAAATCCACAGGATGGGGTGGGCCAGGGAGGGAGTGGGCAGCCAAAAGGGTGCTTCCGCTTCCACTTCCCTGCGCTCCAAGGAGCAGCGCAGCCACGCAGGGCTGAACCTACAAGAGTACTGGACGAGTCGTCAGCCCTGGACTCGAGCCTGGATGGCCACTCTCCACCTGTGTGTCCGTGGGAGTGTGACTTAACCCCTCCCCTCTGTCCTCCTTCACTGACTGACTTGAGGAGGTGGGGCGACTGGAGAGGAGCAGAGAGACACATGTGCTTGTGAACACAACCACAAAATGCTCTGGAACCACGAGGCACTCTGAATATTGCAGATTTTCTGCACTCTTGAGTTTGCCCTGCCCTTGGCCCACAGCCCAGGGTTTTACGTGAGAAGATGGTGGCCCTCTGCCCTAGACTTCAGGAGACCCAGGCGCTTACTGGAGCCCGCTGTCCAGAGCATTTGGGGCACAGCCCTGTACCCGGGTCCTGGATCCATCAGCCTCACTCAGGAAACTCAGAAGTTCCTCAGGATAAACCAAAGGCCTGGTTCCAGCATGGCTTTAAACATCGCCCCATGACTTCTTGGTCTGTGTGTCTCTGTGCCTTTGTCACAGGGGCTGTACTCAGTCTCTCAGGGCTGCCCCATCCTCTCCTCCATAAAGCCTTCCCTGACCCCTAGCAGCTGTGCTGTGCCCTCCCCCCACCCCCATGTCACATCCATCGGGGTCTGTTTCACACAACCCATGATCCTTGCAGACCTGTGGGGACAGCAGGGCCCCACATGTGCTTCTGGCCCATAGGACAGACCCTCTGCACTGAGAATGACATGTGTATGGGCAACCTGTGCAAATGAAGGGTGCCGCCATGCGGAGCCTCTGCACACCTGAGGTGGCGGGAAGGGCCCAGTTCCAGGGCAGACCCGGGGTACTATTTTGAGGTGTGCACAGGGAGACAGCCAGGCACAGAGAAAGCACTGTCCCTGTCCCGCCCCCCACCCCCCCAACAAGGCTGATGGTGCACACCAGGGAGAAGAGGCAGGAAAGGCAGCCTCGGCACAAGGGCACACAGTAGCTCACCTGGGGGGATCTTACAGACGGTGGCGGGGTGCCAGCCATAGCGCTGGTTACAGTTGGGAGACTGGACAAAAATAGCACTGTCACTGAGGCACTCTGCAAAGACCTCGCCGCCGATGTAGTAGAGCCGCACGCCTCTCCCTAGAAAGAATCAGGTTAGATTGGATGGGGCAGCAGCGCCCATGCGTGGCCCGGGCCACCCAGGGCCTGCTGTTCTGCGCGTGTCCCCAGACAAGCAGGACCCAGAGCCCAAGCCTGAGACCTAGACGGGGAAATCATGGCAGCACTGTGTTTCTACAGGACGGGAATCCTGTGATGACAATAAAAAGGACGAGCCATGACCCACAGTCACGTTTCCAACCTGTGGCCTAGGAAGGGTGGCAACTCCTCCCTCACTGGTCACTGGGACACAGTGGGTGCCTTGTCACCCTCATTCCACCCCCGGACTGGAGGTTCATTCTAAAACCCCCAGGGCTCCTGGGTCACCAGGTATGGGGCGATGTGACCCCTCCACACCGTCTTCTAAAGGAGCCTGCAAGTTTCTATCATTTATTTTTCCTTCATCTCTTAAATCCACTCCAGATGGACAGGGATTATTTTTAAATGGGCTCTGCAGTTCCAATAGTTATGCAAAGGCTCAGCTCTGCACTCAGCCAGCAGAGTCCCCGCCCCTGCACCCCATGGGAAGGTCTTATTCCACTCCAGGGAGAAGGCCACGGGCTGGGAATGGCCAGGTACCAGGAGGGTAGCAGCTGGTGAGTAGGGCTGTGTACCACTTGCTTCCCCTTGTTTACCTCCTATTCCGCTGCTGCCCCTCCCTTGGGGCACCCATTTCTTCTCGCGGTCCTCCAGCACGCGGGACAGGAGGAGGGCAAGAGTGGGGAGGAGAGTCAAGCCAGGGAAGACCCAGGCCCAGGCCCAGGCCCAGGCCCAGGCCCAGCGAGTACTCTTGTCTTGAGTGTAGAATCTGCTCTTCTAACAACTCTCCTGTGAGAGTCCACAATAAACCAGCAAGAGTGGGGGTGGAGGGCCACATGGCCCCATCCCTGGTAGCCCAGGAGCCCTGGGGGTTCACATGGGCGTGTGTCCTTTGCACACCACTCCCGGTCCCTAGTTTGGCCCCCAGCTGACCCTTGGCGATCCAGGGTGATGTCTGAGAATACCTGACCACGTCACCTCCACAGGTACAAAACATCTTGAGCAAACCAAGCGACCCACAACACAGCTTCGTCTGCCCTAGCATGGTGACCTTTGTTTATGCTCTGGAGAGCTGGCATGGGCATCTTCAGGTTAGGCAGCAAGCAGTTCTTGTCCTTTTACCTCTCCTACATGGTCTAGAATAATCGCCTAAGACACTAAAGACTGCTCTTCCAAGAATCACAATCTGCTAACCAAGCTACGTGTTCTTTACGGGTGTTTTCATTAAAAATCTCTGCGCCCCTCTTCCCACAGACTTCCCTTCCTTGCTGCCATAAATGACGACGGCTTGGGTCTGTGGCCCCAATGTGGCAGAGCGTCCTTCTCCCTGGGTAGGAATGACTGAGCACCCTCCACTCTCCCTGCCTAGCCCCCAAGTGGGACAACAGAGTTCTGGGCGCCGCCCCATTACCGATGTGCCTCCGCGTCAGCTCCACCGCCGCGTTCCTGTTCACGTTGGACAGCAGGCCGAGGCAGAAGCGCTCCGAGTTGGAGGGGTCGGTGAAGCCATCCACTGTCATGGACGGCTGTGAGGCGTGGAAGGTCTCCCCGACGCGCTGGTTCAGCTCGTAGTAGGAGATGGAGCACCAGAAGGCTGGCTCGCAGTAGGTGACAGGCTGCAGGTCTGCAGGGACAGGGCTCTGCCGTCAGGCCCCAGGACCCCTCAGTGGGAGACCTCCCACCTCTGTCTCATGCCTTTTCCTTGCTCACAGAACTCGGAGGATCCCAGGGTATCTGTGGGGGCACTGGGCCAGCCTTGCACCACCAGGGCACTCCCCACCTGTCCAGCACCCAAGCCCCAGGCCAACCCCACAGACAGACCCACTGTGCCCACCTGCCAGTCACCTCCTGGTCAGTCTCCCTGAGGAGCTGGGGGTCTCCTAAGGAGTCATACTAATCTCTGTCCGTGAAGGACAGAGAACACTGGATTCCCAGGCCAGGCAAGCGTGGCCTACAGAACAGCTGTTCCAGTGCCCACATAACACAGAGGCCACACAGCCAACAGTGCCTGGAGCACACTAGCTACTCCTCCAGCTGCCAGCTAACAAACCAAAGTGCCACCCTGTGAGGGTCTCTCCCTCATGAGAGCAGCAAAAGGCTGAAGGAGAAGGGTCCCCAGCTTCCTACTTCCTGTGACTCTTCACCCAGCTCTCCCCGCAGCTGCCCACGCCCATGAGACTGGGGAGCACCACATGTGACCTTTCTGCTGCTGCTTCAGTTTGCAGGGAATCAAGGGTCCTGCTCAGTCCTCCCTCTCCGTCTCAGACTCCAGCCTGAGTCGCTCACTCTGGCTGTTCAACCTGTGCGGAGCCACCTGGCTGTCTAGGACATGACTCTGTGACCTTCCTGACTGTCCAGCCCAGGCCACTTCCCCTCCCTGCTTATGCTTTAGCGCAGAGCTCAGAAAGGAAAGAAAGGGCAGTAGTGCCCAAGTCTCAGCAAGGGACCCCGGAGGTCTGCTGAGGCTGAGAGAAGATCAGAAGCCAGGCCACCCAGGCCAGGTCCAGAGGGCTGGAGCCTCCCAAGTCCAGGCACGAAGTCCCTCCCAAGGGTGAAGAGAGGCGAGGAGGAGATGCAGACCAGGGATGCCCCAAAGTGCCACTGGGGACCAGGTCATAGTAGGGAAGAGGGGCTCTGATGACACAGGACCGTTAGCAGTATCCCAGACCTCTGCTCCCAGATGCCAGGGCATATACCTATTTCCCCTCCCAAGTGAGAACAACAAAAAATGCCACCGGACACCACCAGCTGTCTTCCAAGGGATAAACGTGCCCATGGCTGAAAACCAGTGCCTGGTGACAGAGCAGCAGGGTGACACACACTGACTGAGAGTTACGAGCTTCAGCTTCTCTGTGGCCTTGGCTTGGGCATGGAAACCTCCCTACCCTGGTGCCACCACGGTGTCCTGAGCTACTGCTGAACAGCACAGGGGATGCACCAAGCCTGCTGCGTCCCATTAGCAATTCCACAACCACTGCCTCTAGGGGGGCAAGGCATCCTTGCCCTGCTCCTCTCTTCCCACAGTAAAGCAGCAGCGGAAAGCAGGGTACTGGTTGCTTGGGGACAGGGCAGGAGCAGCTGTGGCCTGTGCCCTGACTCCTGAGGTTGGGCTGAGCCACGTCAGCCGTTTCCGGCTCTGGCTTCGCTCAGTGCTCCTACATTCCAGGGAGATAAGCTATATTCAAAACAGTGCGGCCACTAAAATTCGAGCTATGCTGCTTTAGAAACTAAAAAAAAAAAAAACCACCAAGAAATCAAAGAGCAATCCAGGCATTCAAAGTGGTCAGACAGCCTATCGGGCTGGGCTGCCACAGCCCAGATGCAGGCTCTGCTGGCCCTATGAGTGACCTTCGGGACATGACCTTCCTCCCCAGCCTCAGTTTCCTAGTCTGCACCGCTGGGCATCTATCTGTGCTTCTGGAGGGCTGGGCCAGACTGGCAGCTCTGGCTAACTGTGGCGACCCTGGCTCACTCAGCAACGTACAGAACAGAAGGCAGTCTTTACCCCCAAATCACAACAAAGCCCCATCCAGAATCCCTGGGGTATCATCCAGGCAAGAGAGCAAGTGGGGCTCCCAGGCATACTAACACACGCCCATCACAAGCAGCAGGCCCAAAGGCCACTCGCTGCCAACAGCACGGGACCAGGCTCTGGGGCAGCATGGGCTGCAAGGAATCCCTTCTGAGGGCCCACCCAGCTAGGTCATGGTCTTCCGAACACCTCGGAGGTGCAGCTATGGAAGATGCCTGCTTTGGGGTGCGGTGGAGTGAGGCTGGTAGTGAGCATGAAGCCTGCCATTTCCGAGTGTGCTGCGGGGCTGGCTCCTAGTGTGGGACCAAAGCGGAGCCAAAGCAGCATCCCTTCCAGGCGCTCGCTCCACTCTGCACAGAGTGAATGGCAAGCCTGAGTCCTGTCACCCTGCTTTCCACAGTCCCGGGCGGCTCCCTCGAGGTGCATCCTCGGGAGGAGCTGCAGACCAAAAGTCTGGTCACCATCTCTGGGCTCTTGCTTCAGTGACACTATTTTTTTAAAAATCATGTATTTTCATGTGTTTCCCATCAAAGACCTCATCTACATCATGGTGAGTACAAGACAAAAAGTCAGGAACCATGAGGTTACAGCTACTAAAATTGAGTACTTGGCTTAGCTCTGAGCTTCCTAGCAGACAAACCAAAAAGGGAACATGCTGTACAACATGGCTCTCAAGGGTGAGTATGTGATGGGTACTAGAGAAACCTTGTCCTGGTACTAAATCTTCAATGAAGTCTCTCAGCAAGTGGCAGTAGCCCCCCTACCGCACCAAGCAAGGATAAAAGCAGGCCCTGGTTCCAACAGTCTGCCAACAAACACAGAAGCAGCTTTACATGCAGACCTAAAGGCGTGCCAAGCACAGGCGCCTCTGGGAGCACGACTGTGAGAGTTCGGGGCCAGGCCTAGGCCTCTGCACAGCTGGGGTGGCAATGACACACCAAGGCCTTGCCCGCCACCACCCCACTCCCACAAGACTGCCAAGTCAAGCTGATGGCTTCCCAGAACAGAGGAACTAGAGGTGCAGAAACCTCCAGCCCCGCTGCCCGGCCCAGCCCACCCCAGCCCACCCCCCAGGTGACATCGGCCAGACTTGCAAAGTGGCATGGGGCACTCCATTCTCAACTGGGCCCACACCCACCAGGCACACTGGCTGACTCCAGATACGAGCCTGGCACTCAGTCAGGCCTATTACAAACTGGCATGGACTTTCTGTTGTTTTAGAAAAAGAAAACAGAATAAAACCCAGAAGATAATGCTTGGGTGATGGGATGCCTATTAAACCCATGTGCAAGAGCCTCAAGGCCAATAAAGGAAACGGCCAGAAGGCAGGAGGCAAAAGTGACCTTCTGCTCTATTCCCTCATCCCTTCACCCACCGGCGTCTCTTGTCTCTCTGCCCCGCTTGTCCCTCTTCCAATATCTGCAGAACCCATCTGTAAGGCCAGTGTGTGTGACCGTGTGTGACCGTGGCACAGGCCCGCAGCAATTCACGCAGAGCAGCCCTCACTGCCCAGCACTTGGGGTGCCCATCCTGCAGCCCCGGCCACTAATTCCAACCCATCTCTCAGGACTCGAGCCACAAGCTGTGCAGCGAAAGAACCTTTTCAGCCTGCAGTTTGCTGCCACTCAGGACAGCAGGGAAGTCAAGCCCTGGGAGAGGAAGGGGGCAGCCAGCAGAGGACTCAGTGCTGCGCTACCAGCCTGGGCTTCACAGGCTCTCCAAAGCCTGGAGTGAGAAGCAGCCCTGGACAAGGGCCTTGTGTGGCTGCACAGAGGTACCTGGCAGTCAAGCCTGCACCCGGGACCCGTGTCCTCCCCAGGGCTGGAGGCCTCCTGGGACAGTGCTGTATTACCCTCCTGGCACAGAGGCAGGCGTGTTCTGCCCGAGGCGCTCGGGGAAACCATCACCCCTAAATCCTGGCTCAGTCACTGCCATGCACTCCCTGGGAACCCAACCTTGACCAGGCTACAAGTGTCTCACGTAAAGCAGGAGACGCTGATCCCCGCCACACACACACACACACACACACACACACACACACTGGGATCCAGCAAGTTACCCCTTTCCTCCTCACATGCCTCGTGCTTCCCTGGGGCCCCTGCCCAGACTGGGGAGGAAATGACAGGAGAAACTAGATGTCCCACACTGCATCCTTTTGGTTCCACTAACTCCACCTTTGGTTATTTAAGACGCACTCAGACGAGCTGGGATGCTTCTGCCTTTAAGGCGCAGCTCGCCACGTCCCCAGTTGCATCCTACGGATTAGGACGCAATGGCACCAGGCAGTGGCACAGAGACAGCTGCCTGCTGCTCCAGCGTTCTGCCCTTTCACCTTACCGCTGCTCACAAACCGCCCTGTGAAGGCACCCTTGGGCTCCTGGAGCCAGCCTCCAGGCCCCCCCCCCCCAAGTCTCTGTTCAGCTCTGCAGAGCCACCAGCTCCTTGAGGTATCCCCACCCCCACATCAGCCTCACCCTCAGCACCCACCCTCAGTTCCCAGGACCCTGGCACTGGCTTTTTCCTTTTGAAGCAGGGCCTCCTCCACATCAGACTCTTCCACTGTCATAACTACGACTGTACCTTCAGAGGTCCCCAGAAGGGCAAGAGGGGCACCCCAGGACTGGCTTGTTTGCCAAAGGAGGGACAAATAGGCCTTCCCCAGCACTTGGTTACAAAGCCCCCCCTCTCAGAGCCCACTGTGGGAAGGGTGTTACCAGCAGTGGTTTCCACCTTGGCCCTTGGCTGCAGCCATTGGAGATGCAGCTGAGCACATATCTGGATGCCATGGTTACCAGGGCCTGTCCCCCTCCTACCTCAGCTGGCCAGCCTCAGCACGGCCCCAGGGGAAGCTGACCGGGAAGCTGACGGGAACATCCTGCGCACCCAGGACGGCTCTCAAGTGCCCCCCGACCCCGTGCACTGCCATCCCTGCAGGGATGCTGTGGTAGTTCGTCCCATCACCTGGATTGGCTTGGGAGCTGCCCCGGGGATCAGTGGGGCATGTCTGGTGGCTCTAGGTGGGTTGTGGAGGCGTGGCCGTGGGAACCTCATCCGGCTCCCCGTGGCTTCCTCTCTGCTCTCTCTCTGCTTTGCTCTGCCACCCCCCTCCCACCCTGTTGCTCCTGCCTTGGACCCAGTGACCATGAAGTGGATCCCCTGACACTAGGTAAACCTCTCTAAAGGTAGGTATCGGGTACTGTGCTCCAGCACAATGTGCATCCATCCTCGCCTCCCTTAGCAGCAGTTGCCAAAGAGATTTCTCTTAGAACCTGCATCCCATGCAGTGGTCAGATTAGTAACTATGAAGCTGCCATCAGCTAAGCACCCCAACCCACTACCAACTTCCTTCTGTAAACCACAGTTCCTTCTCTAAGCACTGGGACTCTCTTCTCAGCCCCCACAGGCCCCTTTGGTATCATCTCCCCAGGCCCTCCTGATATGTCCCCTGCCTCTGGTCTTTTGAGTCAGGCAAGTGGAGACAGCTGTTCTACCTGGCCTAGGCTAGGTGCCGGGGGCACAGGCTATGCCATAGGACCCCTGAATTGAAAGCCCAGTTGCCCGTTTACTAAGTGCGTGACCTGGGATGAATGTGTCCCTGTCTATTTGGCTTCTTACTTCGCAAAATGAAAATGGTGACACTCCCACCTCACAGAGTTGTTCCAAAGACTCGGCCTCGGGAAACCTCTGACCTGTACTAAACAGCAAGTCCTCAGAAAACGCCCACCATCCTCCTTGCCCCGTGCCAGCTCAAGCACTCCAGGGGCTCGCGGCAGTGGGTAGTCGAGGGTTTATTCAATCCAGGAAGCCAGTGCTTCACCCAAGTCCTGGCATGACTTGTAGGCTGACTGGTCCGGATTCAGACGTCTAGGCAGGGCTACACCTACCTAGACCCACAGAGGGGCACCCACTTTCCCCAGAACCCTCACAGACAAGCTCAAGACTCAGCCCGTCATTCTGGACCCCAAGGATCTAGACACGAGTCCTGGTCAGGGATCAGCGGGGACAGCTTGCACGGAGTCGGGGAGAGTCTACCCGAAGCCTGCTGACTAACACTCTGCCCTTGGCCTCAGTTGGGGAAACAGATTTCAGGCAGCCCCTCTCTGCGATTGGAGTCCAGTCAAGTTCACGATCCTAGCATCGTGTGTCTCAAGTGTCACCATGGCTGGGAGCTTCGGTTTAATAACTCAGTGCTCCCACGCCAGGAACACGACCTTCCCTCTGCAGAGCCCCACACTCAGAGTGAGGTGACCATGCAGCGAGGTTACAGCAATCTCCAACGGTGCTGTGTCCACTCTCTGTGTCCCGGCTCCAGGTAGCCCGCTTTCCAGGGTGTGCAAGTGTCTCCAGGTGATGACATTGTCCACTCACTCAGGTCTCAAAACCAATGGTCACAAAGCCAATCCGAGCCACTCAGAGCCACCACACATGGATTAACACCAGCTTTTCCTGAGCACTGTGTCTGCTTCACAGCAGAGGCCCTGATTAAAACTAAACCAGCATTTTCCAAAAACTTCCCATCAGTAAGGACAACACAGACATTTCACACATTTTGAAACCCTCAGCAGGCCCCATATGGGAGTCACAATGACACTGCAAAGCTTGTTCAAGCTGAGAACCAATGATCTGCCTCAAATCCTGACACAGAGACTGACAAGCAAGGGATACTGCAGAAACGTGGGGCCAGCCACACCCAAACACCACGGATAAATCAAGATAAGCAGGGCATTAAACCTGGAAACGTCTAAGAAACAACAGAATGGAAGAATGGAAAAAACAGACACAGGACAGTCTCAATGATAAAACACAGTCACGTTGGTAGGATTAGGAGCACCGTGGCATTTCCCCAAAATCCTACTGTGTTAGGGCTTTAATAAAAATTAAATTACCCTAAGTTGAGATACACAAACAAAACCCAAGCAAGCACGCCTGAAGCCCACTGTGAAAGCCTGGGCCAGAGCCACACAGCTGCCCCCGGCTCCGCACCAAACCAACTTGTGCTTGGCTCACCCCAGACCAGGGTCTCCAGGGCCACAGGGCTGGGGGACCTTCATTCACTCATGTCTGACACTGCCCAAGGGAAAGACTAAGCAGGCACACAGCCGCCTTCTCTGTCACCGCGGTGTTCAGGTTTCCCTGCTCTGCGGTGACCCCAAAACTGCTGCAACCAGAGAACTGATGGGCTGCACCAGCCCGTGGGAGGGCAGGGCCATGGGCAACCTCACCCCAGGGGTGATGGCACTCGCCATCAGCTGCAGAGGTTCCAGGCCTTCCGTAGAGACACTTACCCAAGTTACTGTGTGCTGGGGACATCGGATTCGGGGAGAGGTTCGGAGAACCTGCAGGGGAGACAGCAGTGAGACTTCATGACAGGGTGGCTCACCGCTGCAGGACACAGCCCAGGACCGAGCCCCAGGTGGCAGAAGGCCTGACCTCCTGTCCTGGCCCCCACTTTCCCTCTCTGCACCCAAGCTTCTCCATGTGTGGAACAGATGAACTGAGGTGATGGTCTCCAAGGTCTCTCTGATCCTGATGGCTCAGGGTCCTGACCCAAGCTGTGGCACAGGACTGCTAGGTGGCCCCTTTTTTGAGCTTACTACACCACCTGTCCTATTAGCTGCACCCCAGGAAAATAAGAGGAGCCAGGAAGGGCCTCTCCCAGGCCACACACAGCTCTGGCCTTCCGTTGTGGAAACCCTGCAACTTAGAAAGCCAAGCCGCACTTCAGGCGGGACAGGGTGGCACATGTGGCAGAGTCCAGTTCTCCCATCCATACCCTACGAGCTTCTCTCCACCAGAAAATAGGAGAAAAAGCATCAGCCTTCAAAGACAGCAGCTGGGACCTGCCGTCCCTGGGGCCAGGCCTGCATCAGGCCTAGGGCACCGCCGCACCCAGGCGAGCTGTCACAGTGAGGGCGGAGGAGCAGCCCTGGGTTTCTTTCTTCTCTCTTGTGTCCCCTAATCCACCAGGAATGTGGCAGTCACGGGCTCGCAGGGTCTAAGTCGTGCATAGAGACATGGCACCACGTGTGAGCTATGTGACAGCCCCCACTTTTGCCTCAGTATACAATGGGAATCAGGCCAGGTACTCCGAGCTGTATGGCTCAGGTGAAGACTCACTACAAACGTGTTCACACCACGGCTGCCACAGGAGGCACTCAGAAACTTTCGTTTGCTCCTTGGCTACGGCCCCAGTCACCAAGGCCCAGGAAGGCTGTGAGACCTCCCCAGTGACCTGAAAGAGCACGTGTGCCTGTGAGGGGAGACACAGTTGACCTCTGAGGCATCGAGGCGGCCTCTGGCCCCATATTCTTCCACACAAAGCCTGACAGGGATGCCTGAGGAGGAAAACAATAAAGCAGACTGTCACCCACCCCTGCGAGGGCTGGCTGGGAGCCACGGGCCAGATCTCCCCTCAAGATGGGTTACTGAAATTCATGACAGGGCCCTGAGACAGGAGGGAAGGGGCCAGTGACAGCGGGCAGAAAGGAGGGAGGAGTCAGAGAAGCAAGACCTCCACTATGGTCCATGTTTATAACAGGAACGGTTTGCAGAGGGAGAAAGCGAGGGAGGGAGGGGAGAGCGGGGCAAGAGAAACCCCGCAGCTGAGAGACACAGCTCGCCGGCCCTGCCCCGTGCCAGCAGTGAACAGCTGCAAGCTTGCAGTGGCCACTTGGCACAGAACACAGGAAGTTTCCCAGTGCACCACAGCTGTGTCCACGCTGCCAGCTGCTGGGGCGGGGAGAACAGTTTCAGGGGGTGTGTGCTCAACTCAAAAGCGGGGCCGCACGCGGGAGGTTTCAGAGACTGCGCTCTGCACCGTGCATGTGAGCTTCCTAGCTAGCTTGCTTGCTTCCAGAACTGCAGTCTGTTCCGGGCTGTGCACGGGGCAGGTGGCTCTGCAGCCCAGCATCCCTGCATGCACAAGGCGTGTCCTCTGTCACTGGCCCCATCACCAGGATGGGAACTCTGCTCAGCTTCCCTCCTGGTCGCCCAGCCTCGCAGCACGCTCACCTGAGAGCAGAGGCTAGGTTTAAGCTGCTGCTGCTGCTGGGTAGCCAGTTTGGTCCCATGACAAAGATGTGGGAAAGGTCTGGGGCTCTGGTGAGCGCACACCGGCTGGAGCCCTCCTGGTCGGGGCTCGATGATTACATCTGGCACCACACAGACAGCTGCTTCCTGGCTGCCCACTGGCTAGCGGTGAGGACCAGGTCTCCATCCCTGTTCTCTGCAGCCTGCCCTCCACCCCCTGCCACCAGCATCTCATCCAGCCCAACACCAGTTTTAGGGCTGCACTGGACTCCCACAAACCACCTGCCCGATGCAAGTGGTCCTCCTTCCACAACAGATACCCTGTGTGACAGATCCAGGACAGAGTGTGTCCAACCTCACTCAGCAGCCCGGCCTGGATACTCTTGGACTCTAGCCACACCACGCTCTCCTGCACAGGCCCCCACGACTCTACCCAACTCACTGACTTCTTAGCCATCACCTGATGTCACCAATACTCAACTCAGGAAAAGTCTACACGACACAGCACCTCCCAACCGGGTTAAATGGCTGTCCTCTGTGCCTCTGCCACCCTGTGGCGACTTCTGAGAGTCAGCAGTGACTGCAAGCTGTCCGGGACAATCTGTGAGCCCAGCATGCCCCACAGTGCAGTCACTCTGTGACTGCTAGAGACTGGACAGAGAGAGGACTCGAGAGGCAGGGACATAGGGGAGGGACCAGCTGCTTGGCAAAGATGGCGAGCATGCTGCACCCGACTGACCTGCGTCCATGCTGTGGTTCATCTGGTGGTCACTGGTTTCTCCATCTTCGCTTAGGTAGCCAGGGGGTGGGGTCTCTGGGAAGCAGAAGACATGTGGCCGTGAGAAGGCCTGCACGGCGCAGTCCTGAGACACACTTCAAAACGGCAGTGCTCCTGGCAGAGGGTGCTGGAGGGTCCCCAGGCCTTGGATTGAGGGCTCCTGCCCGCCCATCTGCGACTCCCGGGGCCCCAGCTGCTTCCACACGGCCAGCCCGACACCTGAACCTGAAGCGCCTGTCCTGAGGGCTGGAGAGCTGCTATGGCCAACAGCCCCTGCTCTCCCAATGCAGGCTGACCCTGAGACCTACAGGGAGGCTCTGGACCCTGCCTCACCTATTTCTGCCCTCCAAAGGCTGAGCCTGCACTCGGCCCTGCCTTCTCCTGCAGGGACCCACTGGGCTCAGCCATGTGTCATCTCAGGCGGAGCTCCCTGGAGAAGGTGCAATTCTATGATGGCAGAGACTGTGTGACCCACACCTTAGAACCTCCTCCCCATCCCACCCAGACTCCGTGGCCCTCCAGGGCCAGCCCGGCAGACAGGGAGTGATGGCTAGGACAGCCAGGCAGGGCACTGGTGACAGCTCTGCCCCGAGCACCCGGCTCCCAAGCACGCTGGCCATAGCCACCTCTGCCCACAAACTGAGCCAGGGCAAAAGCCACTTCTGAATTAGAAAGGCTTTAAAACAAGGTGGCCAGCTGGGTCACTCCCTGGCAGGCAGGCTAGGCTGAGGTGATTGGCCTGAGGGTGGCCCAGCATCTCCCCAGGACACCAGGGCAGTGATTCACACTCTATTTGCATGTAAATGAGAGGCTTCCACAAACATTTGCAGTCCCTTGTGGGGTGCCAGTCCCCGCCCCCAACACCCCCAGAGAGAAAACTCAAAGTGGCCTCAACCCCCACCTAGGCTGTAGTGTGTGCCCCAGCAGCAGAGGCACAGGGTCCTGAAAGCCCAGCCCCACTGCTAGGAGGGTAAGGCCAAAGTGACAGTGTTGCTATTTCCACTTCCAAAATAAATGACTGCACTGGGCCCTGCTGGGCTGGGCGGAAGGGTCACACTGCTCCTCCATGCCAAGCAAGCATCATTAGCCAGTGGGGAGCTGAGGCCACAGGTCCTCTCCCAACGGGGCTGAGTCAGGGCCTGGGGCCAGTGCTGCGCAGAGGGGGACAAGTACCTGGAATATTGCTCTGGGGCTCGATGCCAGCAGGAAAGTTAGTGTTCTCGGGGATGGAATGGGTGTAGTCCTCCAGCGGGGGGAACTCGGCCGGGATCTCTGTATGGCGTGGCACCAGCACAGGAGGTAGAACTGTGGGGGCGGGGAGAGAAGGCAGAGGCGGCTCAGTGCCGAGGCCAGGCTGGCTGCAGAGCCCAGAGCCCCAGAGCCCCAGAACCCCAGAACCCCAGGCAAGGGCAGACCCTCCCGGGTGGATGTGTACCTGGTGTCTCCACCCTCTGGTAGTGGTAAGGGTTCACGCACACCTCATCCTTCTTCATGTTGAAGGCGAACTCACACAGCTCCATGGCCCGCAGCTCGTGGTGGCTGTGCAGGTCTGGCCATCGCCACAGGCGGCAGTAGATGACATGAGGGAGCCCCTTGCGATGGGACACCTGCAGGCGACCATCCAGGGACCTGCCAGGGCAGGAAGGGTAGAGAAGGGCTGCTGGAAACTCCCAGAGGCTCTGCTGGTGATGTGCAGTCAGCTTGGCCCTCCTGCTTTGCTCCTGGCTGCAGAGGTCCCCAGCTGAGCTGGAAGGGACCCCCAAAGAGCCAAGCACGCCCACTGCAGAAGACTGAGGTCCACCAGCACCCCCTCCTGAGGCCAGAGCAGCTCTCAGCAACACAGGAAGGAGACACACTCGAGTCAGGATCCCTAGGGGACAGGCGCTGCTCATCTGCTTTACTGGGTGGAGGATCCAGTAAGGATCCAGTAAGACAGCTGGGCCCCGGGGCACAGCCGGGTGCAGACTGCAGTCTCTGCAGGGCTCTGGGAGCTGTGAGAAGTCTGTCTGTCCACTCAAAGCAGTTATGGGAGGAGCTGCTGGCATGTTTCAGCGCTGAGCATGTGAGAATCTCGCTGCGTGTGCAGGGGTGCAGGAGCAGGGAGAGAGGTGCTCAGGAGTTAGGGGTCCTCAGAGGCCTATCCAGGACCCGCCACTGTTTTCTTAGTTGCTGAGCAGAGCTGGCGAGGAGATACTTGCAAACGTCGACCTAGGACCAAGGATAACCATGGGTCTGGTAAACAGAATCCATGGGCGGTCTGCAAGGGACCGTCTCCCAGATGCAACCAGGAAGAGACACAGGGTGCTTGGCATCTCCAAGTCACTGCTCTGTTTGTGGGGAGGACAGGAAGGTCAGCACTGGGCCGGGTCATCGGGACAGACCAGGAGCTGCTGACTAAGGGCATCTGGAAGGATGTAATTAGCTCCCGCCCGTGGGGCCGGGGCTGAAGAACCCCTCCAGAGAAAAGCAGTAATTACCAGGCAAAGCCAAAGGACAGGCTGGGTCTGGTCCCCAGGTACAGGAAAAAGTCAGGCTTTGTGGAGTCCTAAGAACTGGGGTCAAGGTGTGGTTCACATCTCCACACTGCAAGACCCTGGGCAAGGCACCAGGAATCCAGGACCCTCCACTGCCCTGTCTAGAAGTGGGGGACATTCTACCTCTTCTCCCAAAACCTCGTGTCCATTTGAAGGTTCTTTGCAGAGCGCCAACCACTGAGAATTACTGCTTACTCTCTGTTACCACAGCCACCAGTCCAGGCAGGCCACTGAGCTGCCGTGGCTGAGCAGGTGAGAAAGGGAGAGTGGGAAGTGGTGAGCTGGACAGAGTCACAAGGCTGCTGTCAGCCCTGCAAAGCCACCAGGTGCCCACAGATTAGGGAAGTGGCCACATTTGCTCTTTGAGGTTTGACAAAAGCCCCAGCCAGGGCCCAGTAGGTAGAGGTAGCTGACCCTCACGGAGCCCAGAAATGGCCAAATACACACAGGCGACTCAGGTTCAACGAGATGACGACATGAAGGAGAAAGGGTCCTTCAGCGATGTGCTGGAAAACTAAGTAGCTACGTGCAAGAAAAATGAACTTCAACTGGCACCTTGCTCCTAGACACACATGCGCACACATAGTGCGTCAGAGGGGAAAGCTTAAAAACAGCAAAACTGCTGAGGGAAGACTCAGGAGAAAATCTTGGTGACTACTCAGATACTACATCAAAAGCACAATCCGGAAACAGAAAGCTGAGATATTGGTTATCAAAACCTAAGCTCCTGACTCTGGACAGGCAGGGTCAAAAGAATAAAAAGGTGACAAGCTAGGAGATAATACTTATAAAGGACCTCCAAAGATTCAGTATGAAGAAGAGAATCTGACTTGAAAATTGCAGGTAATGATCTGAATAGACAGTAAACTAAAAAGAAGCAAACAAAAAAATGGCAAATAGACACATGAGAGAGATCACCAGGCTTCTGAGGACAAATGGGAGCTCCAGTGAGATTCTGCACACACTCACAACCACAGCTTGTAGGGAGCAGCTCAGAATGGCAGCTGCTGCCCTGCCCCTCCCACCCGAGGGCATTTTGTGTGTCAGCCTACATTTCCCATGATCCTCCCCTTGCCTACAGTGCCCATGACGTGAGCAACTTCCCGCTTCAACCTACATCCCCCATAATCCTCTCCTGCTTACGTCATGTATCCGGATGTGATGATGACCTATCAGATAACACTCCATGCCCTCTTCCTGCCCCATTGGCCCGCCTCTACCTTATATAAGTTGTAGACATTTTAAAAATAAACGAGACTTGAATGGAATCCCGCCAAGTCTTCATCTCTCTTTTCTCTTGCCCTGCCCTTCATCCCCGTCCCCTCTCCAGGCGAAGGCCCACGGACTGATCCGTGGGACAGATCAAGTGGTGCCCAACCGTTGGGCAGACCTGGCACAAGGGATAACAACGCGAGACCATTCACGGGGGTAAAGCGCCGGCTGGCGTGACTGTTTCGGGACTTCATTCCTGTGACCTGTGCAGACGGCCACCTTACATCTCACCTGAATCACGGTAGGTGAACAGGATTGGCATGGGGCAAGCACTCAGTGAGCACGAATTGTTCGTGAATGGCCTCAGGGAGGCAATCAAGATTAGAGGGATTAAGGTTAAGACAAAAGGTTTGATACAGTACTTTCAGTTTATACATTCAGTGTGTCCATGGTTCCCCCTAGAGGGTACCATTAATTTAAACAGCTGGAAAAGAGTAGGAGATGCTCTTAAAGACTATTATGGGGTTTTGGGCCCAAAAAGATTCCCGTAACCACTTTTTCATATTGGATTTTAATCTCTGAGCTGCTGACACAACGTCATGCAGATCCCCAGGTCGTGGAGACACTCGCCCAGGGTGAGGCTGCATTATCTGCCTCCCGCAATTGTACTCTGCCACCACCAGACTTATCTAAGGCGCCCAGCCCTCCCAGCTCTGTGGTCCTTGATATCCCAGAGCCTTTTCAAGATGGCGACATGCCGCCATTCCCTTTGTCTGAAGGCCACAAGGGTACTCAAAATGGCATGCACTGCCCCGGTACTCAAAATGGCACTGCCTCCATACTGACTCTGGTGGTGAAAAAAAAATAGGGGCTGGGAATTTAGCTCAGCAGTATAAGCACCTGCCTTGCAAGCAGGCAGTTGTGAGTTCGTTCCCCGGTACCGATAAAAGGAAAAAGACAAAAAAAAAAAAAAAAAAAAAAAAAAGGCAATTAGATGATGCAGAAGAAATTCATTCTAAAACCAAGTCAAGAAAACAACTGGGTAGGATCATGCTGAAAGGAGATATTACTCTGCTACAAAGTGTCTCCAACTAGAAATGATCAGTGAATTAAGACACCAGTGAGAAGCAATGGCAGGGAATTAAGATAAATGTCAATTACAGTGTGTACCCATATAAAAAAGGCAGCTGGTTAAGTGGTTTGCCTTGGGAGTATTTGTAAAATGTTTGTTCATATTGTTTGTCTACCCTTATGTTTTTACTGGGAGCAATAAATGTAGGGTTGTTTTTATTGAAAAAGACAAAAAAAAAATGGCGCTGCCATGCTCCCTTCTCCGTACCACTCTATCTACCCTGGAAATGGGAGCTTATCCATTCTTACAAGTCGAGGTTAAAAAAAAAAAGAAAGAAAGAAAGAAATGGGAGCTTAGTCGCTGGAAAGACCAAGAGGTGGTTTGGACTTGGGTAGGATCAGGAAGTCCATGGTTTGCGCCCACACCCTGTTGGTTCTTTCCGGGGCTCCAATGTCCCAGAAAAAGTCAATTCTACCTTTGTCCCGCAGCAACAGGGGGCAGATCATATTGTAATTCCCCGGGAGAATATTTTTGTGCTCGTTGGGGCTGTGAAGCAGTTGCAACAGGGTGGCAACCCGCCTTCCCCGATAAACACCTTAAACTGACATGGGGGCCACCAGGGTGCAGCCTAGGTGACTACCCACCGGCCAATCAAAGACCCTGTCAGGTTCTAAACGTCACTGTCACCACTCCTGAGGACCCTGGCTGGCTGACAGGACGCACCTGGGGACTTCGAGTCTATGAGTCAGGCAAAGACAGGGGAAATCTTATTCTCATAGAAAAGATTCCCCTACAGATTTCATCCGCGCCCATAGGCCCAAATCCTGCTCTAAAGCCAAAATATAGTCCAATACAGATCCTGTTACTGCTGTTCAAACAACCACAGTAAGTTACCCAACCATAAGGGTTTCTCAAGCCCTGCCACACCAGGCAGATCACATACCTGCCCCTCAATATTCACATTCTAATCTATTCAGTTTGATTAAAGGGGAATACACGGCTTTAAATCATACCCAACCTGATCTCACCCAATCCTGTTGGTTATGCTTGGCTGCTCCTCCCCCATACTATGAAGGAAAGGCCCTCAATTTAACCTTTAACAGTTCTTCTAGCTCATCTGCCTGTGACTGGGGCAATCACCACAAGCTGACTCTCCCTGACGTCTCAGGTAGAGGGACCTGTCTTGGGGACTCCAGCCGTCCACCAGCACTGGCAGCATGACTCTGTGCCCAGCTTCATTCAGAATTCAAGCCAAATAATTACCTCATTCCACCCCCAGGAACGTCTTGGGCATGCATTTTCGGCCTCTCACCCTGTATAGCAACCACTGTTTTTAACAAGTCTACAGATTTTTGTGTTCTTGTACAGGTTCTTCCTCACATAACATTCGACCCAGGAGACTGCTACCTCCAGGCATCACAGACCGGCTATATGTATAAGAGAGAACCCGCGACACTCACCTTAGCTGTATTACTGGGGTCAGGAGTCACAACAGGAATAGGAACAGGGACTACAGCTCTAGTGTTGGGAAATCAGCATCTAGCTCAATTACAGGCAGCAGTAGATCAAGATTTAAAAGAAATAGAAACATCTGTGATGGCTCTACAGGCATCCCTGACGTCTCTATCTGAGGTAGTCCCACAGAATAGAAGAGGGCTAGACCTCCTATTTATGAAGGAGGGTGGCTTATGTGCTGCCCTCAAGGAAGAATGTTGTTTTTATGCTGACCACTCAGGAGTTGTCAAAGAGTCCATGACTAAGCTAAGGGAACGCCTCAAAGAGAGAGAAAAAGAGTGCCTCGGACAAACCAC